GCCTATGATGCAGGCACTTCACAGTATCCTTCCTGCCTCCACTTTACAGATGAGGAAATGGAGGCTCGCAGAGTCCTGAAAGTCGCACAGCTACCAGTGGTGCTGAGGAGGCAGCTAAGGGCTCATCCACCGCCTGCCTGTGCAGCTTGCATGTCTCTGTTGAACACACCTCCGTGATCCAAGTTAACTATTCCTTTAGCCCAAGGCCAGGGAACATGGCCTCCTTCCACCCACCTGTTCTTCTTGCCTTTCCTTGGAGAGAAAGCAAAGACTGGCCAGGGTACCTCCTTACTACTGATTTGTTATGGGAACTGAGGGATTCTGTCCTCAGTGTCAGCACAGTGAAAGTGTGGGAGTTTCACAGATGCAAGATGGGAGTTTCCTGCAGGAGGGTGCTTCAGGGCCTGCTGGGGGTGAAAATCACAAGCTGAGGAGCCTGAGCAATTGGGCCCCTTCTTCAGATAGATTTCTTTACCAGGAACTCTGGGGCAGTGGCTCCCTGATGGGACTGTATGAATGGATTTGTAGAGCCTCGCTCAGCGGGGTTGGGTTTATTTTGATGGTGGTGATGGGGGCTATTTGCAACTCAGGGTTGGAGACAGCCCACCCATCCAGGTCACGGAGGTCCCTTCCCCGGGGCTACTGCTTTTGCAAATGGACCAGGCAGGCTCTGGGGTTGGCAATAGTCAGTTCGGGGCTGTCCCAGCTCTGGACTTTCCTGAAGGCCTTTCCTTCAGGATTGTTTGCTTAGGATTTTACAATGAAAGATTCAGGTGAAAGAAACTAAACCTGTGGTGTGAAATCAAGTAAATCTAGTTTATACAATGTCACCAAACACCCTCAAAATCGTGATGACCATCTGGGAGGCTGGCCACCAGCACATCTGGAGACTACCTAAGTCATTTCTCCATGAGGCAGGATCTGGAAATCCCTATCAGGAGGAGCTGCGGAAGATGGATTTGACTTTCTATGGGTCGACAAACTTTCTGTAAAAGGCTAGACAGTAAATGTTTTCACTTTGCAAGCCAGATGTTCTCTGTCACAACCACTCAGCTTGGCCATGAAAAGCAGGCAGAGAAGATCTGTAATCAAATCAACATGGCTGTGTTCCAAGAAAACTTTATTTATAGACACAGAAATTTGAATTTTATATAATTTTCATGTAAAACAGAATATACTTATTCAAAAATCAGTCTTAGTGCCACAAAGCTAAGCAGCATGAAGCTGCACAAAAACAGGGGGCTGGATGGACTTGGCTCATGGGCCATAGTGTGCTGACTGAGCCACTGTCCTCTTCATTCATCACCAACCCCATGTGACGGATGAGCACTTGGAACCTGACTAGTCCAGACTGAGACATGCTGCAAGTGGACACTGGATTTTGAAGACTTTGTATGAAAAAAAATCGAAAGCCTGCAAAGCGTCTCCTTGGTAATCTTCTGTGTTGAATATTTTATTGAATCTGTGTTGAAATGATAGTACTTTGCCTATTTTGGTTCTAATAAACTATATTGTTAAGATTGTTTTCACGTGTTTCTTTTAACTATTTTAATGTGGCTAATGCTAAACTTACACTGGCCCACATGGCTGGCACCATGTTTTTATTGGACACTAGTGCCAGCTCTTCCCTAGGTCTGGGAACCCCTCCCTCACTGCCCACATCTCCACCAGGCCAATTGGTTCATAGAATCAAGACTGACCTGTTCATGGTGAAAATGTCTCAGCATCTCTGACATCAGTTGTTCTGAGTTTCGATGTTAAGTAGGAACTCTGTATTCCTGACCACTAGTATTTACCATGATCTGTAAAATATTGGCCCTTAGGAAATAAATTTCGTTAATAAAGAAGAGTGGTGGCAGTTGCTATTTTTCAAGCACCTACTCAATACGTGACAAGCTTTCATATATATATATATATACATATATATATATATAGTATATTTTCATCCTTATAACCATCTTGAGAGGGAGCCATTCTGAGATCCATTTCCAGATGCAGAGCAAGGTCATAGAGGTGAAATCCCTTGCCCCAAATGATGTAATTGGCAGCATAACTGGTCTCAAAATCAGGTCTCCCTGTCTTCCCAGACTGTTTTTCACCCGTGGTATTAATCACTAAAATGTCCATGAAAATGGCCTTCCTGAAAGAATTGTTTCTCCCTACGGTGCAGAGAAGTGCAGGGGATCACACAGTGCAGCTGGCGGGGGGGGAGGGTCTCCAGGCAGGGCTGGTGTGCAAAGCCCAACTCCACTCTTGCTGCTCTGCACCCCTAGGCATTGCCAGCTCTCTCCCCGCTGCATCAGCGGGGAGCGGAAGACCACTGTTTACTATTGCCCACCACCTCCAGCACAGGGGGAGCAGGATTGTTTTATCTTTAGAGGTGACCCAACCACTGCTTCACAGTGGTTCCAGCCACACCGAGTTCCATTCTCCTTTTGAGCATACAGTTAATCTCCTGCCTCGGAGCCTGTGTACCTGCTGGCCCTCTGCATGAGTGCTCTGCTCCTCATCTTCACGTGGCTGCTTCCTTCTCCCCATTCAAACACCAGCTCAGTGTCACTTCCTGAGAGACCTTTCTAAAGACCCTCACCCACCACCCCATCATCCTCTATCACGCCACCCTGTTGACGTGCTTCATGCATTGATCACTAGCAGGACTCACCTCCACATCTTCCTGGATTTATGCTTCTACACTCCTCCAGAATGCAAGTTACTGAGGACTTGACTTTATCTGCTTTGTTTCCCCTGCCCCTGACACATGCTAGTGAGTGGATGGGGAACACTGAGGTGCTGGGGGCTTCTTACTCCCTTGTGTCTCTCCTTGCCATCAGGACTCTGAGTTGGGCTAATCTCAGAGCCATAGTTCTTCAGCCACCCAGATTGCTGGGGCTGTCCCTCAGTGGGGGCATTTCTAATACGTTCTGAGGAGATGCCTACTCGGATGGGCCGGGGACTGAATTTGGAGAAGAAAGAATACCTGCTGCTGGATAAGCAGGTGTGACTTGCCCTTCATCTGTTGCTCCAGATTATCCACTGGAGCTGCTGTTTCAGAGCAGCTTCCTACTCAACTGGATTCAACAATTATTTCCTGAACATGGTCTGTGTCTCAGGAGTGATGAGGCCTTCATTCTCACTGTACTTCTGGGTAGATTTATAGGTAAGAGAGCTGAGGCATAAGGAGTTAAATAAAGGGTTCAAAGTCACAAAAGTAGGAGAAGGTGAGGTTGGGACTTGAATTCAGGGATTCTGGCACCCTGCCCAGATAGACTCCCATCCTCCCCTGCTGTGTCTCTGAGGTCTTAATTCCCAGAAGCCTTTGGGTATGGTTCACAGGTGCCAGAGAGCTTGGTAGGAGGTTGGAAGGTAAAGTTTGGAGAGTCTGGAGTTGAGCAGCTAAGATTATAGATTTGGGCCTTAGAGATGTAAAGGTTCTGTTCCTGGGTCTACTCCACACCAGCTACCTGACCTCAGACTCAGGATATGATTTCTCTAAACTTCAAATTGGTGCCTATTTCATAGGACTGTTGCTAATGTTAAACAGAGGATGCAAGCACTCTTCCAGGTAGACAGGTGGGTGCAACAGGCCAGTGAAGTTATTTTACATAATTCTCATTGCCTTGGCTATAGCAAGGCTGGGTAGTGGAGCAGCAGGTCTGCACTGCCTGAAAACCCTGGGAGCTTGGGGCTGAGGAGTTGGTAAGTGGAGGACCCAGTTCTCAGTCCTCCTACTGGGAGAGCCATATGTTGCTGTAGAAGGAACAAGAAGCATCTCTCCTTCCTTGCAGGGAGTAATTCCCAAGGAAAGGGGGAGAAATTTGGGTATCTATGCTACCATTTATCTAAGAAGGAGAGAATACAAGTGTACATATATTTATATGTATTTGTTTATATTAAAAGAAAACTATGGAAGAATAAGCTAAAAAGCAAAAATGGCAGCCTATGGAGAATGGAGAAGAGAGGCATGTGGTGTCATACCTTTTTTTCTAGATTTGATGTGGAGCTGTGTAAGTACCTAAAGAATTATAAAACTAATTAAAGCAACATTCAAGAAAGGCAGTCCCTAAAATTGAGAGTAAAATGAAGCAAATGAACTTAATGTGTAGGTGGCATAATTTCACACAAGGGAATTATTTCAAATGATTTTATGAAATATTAATTTAACTTAACATCCATAAGGAGGATATATCCTAACACAAAATTAACTGTAAAATAAAAATTTTAAACTGCCCTCAGAAATATAGCTATAGATAAAGCAAATTGGCAATATGTTAATGTCATTAGACTTGTTTCAGTGTGAGTGAAAAAAGATTTTGCAAACAAAATTTTAGTGATAAGTAAAACAGTACTTTCAAGTTTAATATCAATAAAATTAAATATGAACAAGATCAAATATAAAATCAATGTAAAGAGACAATTTATCAAGATATACTATCTATAAAAAAAAAGTATTTCCTCCTAGAAAGACCAGAAATAATAACCAACACAGTAGCAATGAACCTCCTTTATACCTAGATTTTGTCTCTATAGATTATTTCTTACTAGGGAGAACAATCATTCCCTCATCTGAATCTCAGAAGAGTCTGGAAACCTTTGTCATACCAAAAGACAGATAGGCTGTGAAAATCTCCTGGAGGATCTTTAAAGAATTGAGCTGATTCTAAGAGTTTCCCACTAGCAAAAATTGGAACCATTTGCTCATCAGTAAGAATGAAAACCAATGGGTATTGAAACACACTGTTTAAGCCCATGAGTTCATGATGATACTGAAAAAAAAAAAAAAAAAAAAAAAAAACAGCTCAAACAATCCCCTGTGGTCACCTTTGGAGGACACAGAGAGAAGCTTCTGAAAAGTGACTATTCTGTATGAATTGTGCTAAGTCATCCAGGGAACCAAGCATCAGATGAAGGAGAATTTCTTCCATATGGTAGGAAGAATAGAATTTGAATACTACCATTTTTTAACCCCCTGACATAATAATGGATTAGAATGCTAGTGGGTCTCCTGTGAACATGGACACTGTCTGTGAAGTATTCTTGCCAACAAACCAAATCTAGATCAGAACATGCCTCTACCCTGCATTGAACTACCAGACTGCAGAAATAACAGGACAGAGAAAACCACTCAATGACACCATGAGGAAGTAATCAGCAAAATTTGGGGTGTGGAGGACCCTACAGGGTAAGTCACCTATTTCTTAATAAATAAGTCATTGAAACTGAGACAGGTGGGATACATTGATTAAAAGACACGAAAGAGACACATCGATTGAACGCCAGTACCTCTTTGGAACCTGAGTCCAACAAATCATCTATAGCCAACATTTACAGAACAACGTGGAAAACTTGAGTATTTGATAATATGCCTGAGTATTTGTCAATATTCAAAGGTTCTTGCAAATGTTTTAGTGATGACACCAGTATGTTGAAAAATATTTGTTATTTAGCATGACCTACACTAGTATTTAGCAGTGAAATGATATGACATCTGGAACTTCTAAGTAAATGTAGTGTGGGACACTGGGTTGGTGCATGGACATGAAACAGGATTTCTGAAGATGAATTTTTGTATGCATTTGAACTTTTATATGCACTTGAGATGTTTCATAGTTTGAAAAAAAAAGCAGACAATTCTTGGGGCAGGAGGGGGCAAAGAGGAGGATGAGGGTGAGCTGAGGGGAGTGGTGGGGCAGGGAAGAGACACACCAGGGAGTCTGAGAAAGCGGCTGGCTCTGTGGCAGCCAGGGTGAGACCTGAGACTGCCCCTTGGCCACATGGCAAGGAGGTGGCACCTGGGCCGGCCTGACTCGTCCTGGAGACTCCAGCCTGTCTGGTAACCTCACTTAAGGTTATTTGATATGAAGTGGCTTCAAGGAGGCCAAGAGCTCTACGAATATTGGCAGGTACGCAAGACATCAAAAACTGTCCAACTTTAGAGGTTGGTGGACAAGGCTACACTTAAAAATTTAAAAATTACAATAGAATAAAATATTTGTGGTAGATTACTAACCAAGTAGAAATGGAGTTTATTATTAATGTAAAATGTGCATCTACATTAAAAGAAAAAAAAAAACAGTAAAAAGGTTCTCATGTAAAAAAAAATATGTATATTTAGGCAAAAAAAAAAAAATTACCTAAAAGCAACAGACACTCTTTGGTAAGCAGTGTCTGTTGAATTTGTTGTTGAGATGATTGGCAGTGAGGTGAAGGAAACCTGTTTCTACTTTCAACAAGAGATTATCATTGGACCAGCTTGCAGGGAAAGCTGAGTCAGAGTTTTAGTCACACACCACCCCCTCCTCGTCTTCCACGTCTCCCTGGGGATTGTCCTGTGGGAGGCAGGTGAAGATGAGGGGCTAACGTCACCTATGATGTTGACACCTCTGAATAAATGCACAGGAGGTGGGGCTAAAAAATTCCCTGTGCAGGAGAAGTTTCTCTAAAAAACTCAGAGTGGTCTCCTTTCTCCTTGGGTGGGGAGCAGGGGAGGAGGCCACCCCACCCCCTGAGGCTGGTGCTGTGGCATAGTGACCCTGTCTGGGGCCAAAGCTGCTTCTTGGACACTTGCACATCCATGGTCCCTTTATAGGTATCACCTTTGCTGCAAAGGCTCACCTAGGGCCCCAGGAGGACAGCGATGTATCAATGACCACAAAGGGGCTGCCCAGCTCACATGATTTTAATCCCATCAGAACTCCAGGCTTTTTGTTGGGCGATGGAGAAGTCAAGACTCCCTCCACTGAGGAATTTATTTGCTTTCCCCTGTCTAGTTTTAGAGCATAGAGCAGGAAACAGATACCCATGGTGAGACTAGGACTGGCTCAGGTAACTTGCAAGGTTGGGACAGAGACAGACTGTTCTCAGATGAATAGTTTTGCAGGTCACCACCTCCCTTCCAGGAGTGCTATCTGACCTTTCTGGTCCCAGCTCCCCAAGATGAGTCCTGCTTCCAGAAACTTTCAGAGGCAGAATTCTGGGTCCTGTGATACCTCCTGGACATCCACCAGATGTCATTTCATTGGCGTGATGGTGCTGTCTGGGCTCCCCATCATTTTATGGGGTATTGGTTCCCAGTGCAGCCTTTGAGGAAAGTTTGGCAGCCTCATCACCTTCCATTTTCCAGCAGAAAGAATAAGACTCTTGAGGACTAATGGAAGCGCCACAAAGAGTCCGGCAGATAACAGAACTGGTGTCAGACTCTGAGTCTTTCCTGTTCTTTCCTGGCCTTGGTAGAAGGACCAGCATACAAATTTGCCGAGTGCAATCCATGAGCAGATATGGCCCAAAAAGCCAATAGGCGGGTTTGTTTGACAATTAACAGTTGCTAATTTAGGGCCTCCCTGGTGGCACAAGGGGTTAAGCACAGCACTGTGAAACTATCTATAGCCTCTGCTGTGACCTGCACCCACATGGTGCAGCAGACCTCTCCTGTTAGCCCGCTGCCCTCAGAAATGTATTTCAGTCAATCCTCCTGGTCTGCTCCCTACTCTGTCTCTTGTGAATCCTCTCATGTCCCACACTCTGGTTTGTACCCCAGTTCTTGTATGCATAAACAAATAAATTAAAAAAAAGCAATTGCTAATTTGGACTGTTAGCAACATTTAAAAATCAGGAGGTTTTTTGTGGTGATGGTGGCATTTCTGGTCTTTTTAACCAGAGGTCAGGGAGCAGGTGCAGGGACAGGCAGGACACGTGCCCTTCTGCTGGTCACCAGCTCACATCACTCATTTACATAACCAGCAGGACCCAAGATTGTGTTTCATCTCCATTATAAGCAGAGGATGGCTTAGGTTGCGGGAGAAGTATAGCTGGTCACTACAAAGTTAACCTGTCTCAACCTCTCCCCCAAAGCCAGCTGGGGGGCTGGACCCCAAACACCCAACCCTATCACCATCCTTGTGGTGGACACCCTGGGATGCTCAGAGAATTGGGTGCCGTGAGGCGTTGAATTACGCCTTGAAGAGCACATTAAACACCAACCCAGGAAGCGTTCTGAAGGCATTAATACTAAATAAGCCTTATCTTCAGAAACATTCACCTGCTGTGAGCAGATATGTCTTCATGAAATATGAAATCCCCCCAAATTTATTAAAACCGCCTGCGTCGTAGCGGGAACTCAAACTGAGCAGCCCTCCGTTAGAGCCTCGTTATTATTATGGCATTATTTATTTATATCCGACCCTAAGACAGACATGATGTAATCCAGTAATTAAGATTGTTATGATTGAATATTTATTAAGCACCTACAATAAGCCAGTCACTGATCCACATAAAATGAGTCTTTACCCTCAAGAGGTCCTATGTTGCTGCCATGGGGAGCTCTGTGACTCTCAGAGGGGAGCAGGGGGGAGTTTAATGGATTTTGTCTTCCCTGAGCAAGCTTGAGAAATGATGCTGATCAGAAATTGGACCCAGTTTAGTCTCGCTGTTCAATCTGAATGAAATGAAAACAATCCATCGCTGCCTTAGAAGAGAGATGGGAGTGCAGAGGGGCTGTCCCTAAAAATGCCCCCAGGAGCCCAGCGTCGGGCTGGACTGCCCAAGGCAAGAGGCAGAAGCAGCGTGGTCTGCTTTTGAAAGTCACCCGGGCCTAGACTGAGTGGTTCTTTTGTACTTCTCTTAAAATTAGCCTGACTCCCATGTATCACAAGCCAGCACTTGCAGGATCCCCACTGTGTGTCAGAGGTTGGAGCTGCAGAAGGCAAGCAGACACGACCTCAGGTCCCCAAGGACATCAGCCTCCACATCAAAGCCCTGTGGGATGCTTTCCCCTTCTGCCCTCCCCAAAGTGTCCTGTGAAATTTCCCCTGGCCTTCCCTCTCTCTCTCTTTCTCCCGTCCTGTCTTCTTCCTTCTTTCCCTTGCACTGAACCACTTTTCCTAAAAGGATCTGCTGAGCTGTGCGCTCCGCTAGGCAAAGAGCTTGCTCTCTGGACTCTCTGCTTCTCACTGGTGACTATTTGTAGTGGAAAAGTAAATGAAAGCACAAGCACAGGATGCCGTCGATGAATGAAACACAAACGTAAAAGTGTACCTGGCATTGAAACACGATCCTCTGCGACCAACTCTACTCACTTATAATTTTTCCCTAGCAGATTATTTCTCTGTTTGGGAAGGACATGGAATGTCCCCTGGGTTCTCTGATGCCTTTGGTAGGAGATGTTTTGAAAACTGACACATGCATGTTATGCTTCCCTTAGCACTAGCCCTGATGCCTATATTTGGTTCAGATAAAATCTCCTTTATCATGAAAGGGACTCTGGTTGTTTCCACAAAATAATCAGTTTTTTAAAGTTGTGATTTTAAAAAATTGCAATAAAATACATATACCATGTAGTTTACCGTCTTAATTTTTTGAGTGTACAGTTCTGTATGTTGTTGTACAATGTTGTTGTACAATCATGTACAATGATCACCACATCCACCTCCAGAATGTCTTCATCATTCCAAACAGAAATTCTGTACCCATTAATCAACTAACTCCCCATTTACTCCCCTCCAGCCCCTGGAGAACCTTCCACTTTTTGTAACTATGAATTCAGCTAATCTCAGTACCTCGTATGGATGCAATACTGCAGCATTTGTCTATTTTGACTGGCTTATTTCATTTAGTATAATATCCTCAAAGTGCATCCCTTTTGCATTATATCCAAATTTCCTTCCCTTTTTAATGCTGAATAATATTCCACTGTATGGATAACTGTCATTTTGCATATCCATCGATTTGAGGACACAGGAACCCCCATGAGCTGCTTCTCTGTAGAGCACAAGGCCTGGGGCCATGGGTGTTCAGAAGGTCCTTATCTCTGATTCTTACTTTACTGCAAGGGATGTGGAGAAGCCAAAGTGGAGGGAATGAAGCATATGCCACACAAGTATGCCTTTTGCATAAATTGCTTTTTGGGCGACAAACACATAAACAAATCTTCATTTATAGACAACCTTTCCTCACAAACAAAAAGCCCCACCAATTAGACTGGGCTTGAATTTAGACTAAGATTAGACTAAGATTCTAAATTGCCATAAAGCAGGAAAACCCTTTAAAACAAAGGATTGAGTAACCAGGTAAGTCACTCAGAAACATGATGTCACCTCCCTGGACATCAGTGAGAAGTATGTACACCAGAAAATGGAATTGCCATTCACCATGGTTTTAATCCAGAGTAAGATCAAGCCACCAGACCCAGGCCACACCCTTCAAGAACTATTTTAAAAGATTGCTGTCGAAATGCCAGGTCAGCCAGACTGAAGAGACCTCCAGAGTGACTGGGCTTGAAAGAAGAGCAAGACTTAAAGGCAGAGCTGTGACCTCAGGGAATGTTCTTCACCTCCTCTAAGGAATGTTGGCCAGCCCTCCCCGACCCTCCCAACCCTTCTGGATAAAAGGGGATTAAGAGGCATTCAGAAAAGAGACAAGAACTGGCATCAGGCTTCAAAGTCCAGTTTGTCTCTTACTAGTTATAGGGGTATGGACAGGTTACCTTATCCACCCTCTGTCTCGGTGGTCTTATCTATAAAATAGGCATAATAATATCTACCTGGAAGTTTTTATATTGGTTAAGTAAAACAATGTATGCTCAATCCTTAGTTTCATACTTAATCCAAGCTTGGCACATGGGGGACGCAGCTCAGCTGAACAAAACTGTATTATTTGTGGTCCATGAAAGTGGCTCCTATGCAGACCCGGTCTCTTGCAGTTGAAGCCAATGGGGTGAGCATGGCAAGATGCTTTTTTGCCTTTAGTAAGAGCATTGGGCAAAAGTCATCTCTTTCACCCAAATCTTATGCGTCCCTCCCCAGAAGACAAAAATAGCTCAGTCTTTGATTTAAGTCCCAAAGTAGAACTTGCTGTCTCCACTTCCCCAATGCCATTGCCCCCTAAGTCAGACCCAAGTCTCATCTTTCCCTTTTCAAGTTCCATTGGGTGGTCTCTTTCAAAACATTTCCAGGTGCACTTATGGTACAGTCTCTTGAGGATGGTGTGATAAGGAGACTGTGTACAGTTGTGTGTGTGTGTGTGTGTGTGTGTGTGTGTGTGTGTGTGTGAGAGAGAGAGAGATAGAGAGAGATTGAGTGAGAGAGATAGGCAGGTCTGTGGATCAGACTTTGTATTGTTATCATACCAAAAAGATAACAAGAGGGCTTCCCCTGGTGGTGCAGCGGTTGAGTGCTGGGCTGCGAGGCTGCCTGCAGCCTCTGCAGCGACGGTTCGTTCCCCAGCCGCAGGCAAGGGTCCCAAAAAGAAAAAAAAAAAAGATAACAAGAAGCTGAATTTTACTGTTTTGGGAGCTAATTTTCTAAGACTCTTACTCTGAATTCTTTGTAGATCTGATGTATGACAGAAAAAATAAAATGCATCCCCTGATACGTCTCAGACTTTGGAAGTTCTTCAATCCTGAGAGTTACTTATATATTCCAGGGATTCAGCGTTCCCGTTTCTCTGGTCACTGGGCACTCCGAGATACACCTGGGCCTGGCCCCACCCAGGCGTCCCTTGCGGCCCCCTGCTGGTGGGCACCTCACATTGCAGGTCGCCCTCTCCCCAGCGCCAAGGGGACTCCACTTCACAAGGTCACAGGGCAAACCTGCCTAAGGTACTGCTAGTGGGAGAGTGACCCAAGGAGGCTTCCCTCGGAGGTCAACTTGAATTCGGTGTTGTTTTGGGGGTTGAGGTGTTGAGAAAGCATGAATACGGTCTCTCCTTCCTGGTGAATGTCTGCGTGAGGGGAAAGGTGTTTGGGCAAGGGAAATGAGGGCACAAACTTAAAATGGTGAGGAATTCCAACAACTGGTGAAATAGGCTATCGGAAAGCAGAAGGGCCAGGAACCTAGCTGCGCTCTTCCTTTGGGATAAGGGACCTCCTCTTCTTGGCCTTCCTTTCTCCTTCCCTCCCCAGGTGCTCCGACCCTTTCTTCTTTTGTCCTTTCCTTCCCTCCCCTGACCACCCTTCCTTTGAGAAAATTCTGCATTTTGCTTTGCTGGGAAAATGTCTGCCTCCGCCTAGCCATGGCTCAAGATGTTGGAGGCAGCAGAACTAACACTAGTTTGCTGAGAAAAACTCTGTGTCGGGAAACCAAGAAAATGTCTGAAAGTCTGCAGTCTAGAGCCATCATGCTTTTGATTGCAGGAAGAAATAACATGAGGGAACCTGACTGCAGCTTCATGTCTTTAGGATACTTTTAGGATAAGCGATTCAAGTAGCCTTTGGTCCTTCTATCTTTCCAAATGCAGAGACCACTGGCTGAATTAGCTCTGTAAGATCAAGGGAGGATTTTAAAGTTACGAGCAGTGTTTATCCTTTCTCGGTTAACTGTTTGTTAGAAATCAGCCTCTTTTAGTTACTGAAAATGTTAGAAATTAACTAGATGCCTTGCTTCCCTTGTTAAGAAAAAGCATTTATTCTTTGCGTGCATGTGACTTATCTATAGACACTCAGGCCCCAGACTCCGGGGGTGGGGAGCAGTCCTTCACAGGAATCTAATATTGATCTGTGGGTCCTCGGTCCTCAGTCTGGTTTCCAGTTACCTCTTTTAGTAAATTTCTCCTTTACTGAACTTTGAGTTTGCTTTACAGTGATTATTTCAGTCAACACTTCCTTCCTTCTTAAATTGTGTTCTCATTTTAGACAATTTGATAATTTTCTTGGGGAAAAGAAGAAAGTAGGAGAAATATGCCCACCCAGAAATCTTGACAGTGGAGGAGGCTAGGCATGTGTGGAGTAGAGGGAATATGGGAAATGTCTGCATCTTCTGCTCAATCTTGATGGGAAGCTAAAACAGCTCTAAAATTCCAAAGTTTATTAACTATAAAAATAGCACAACTTCTACCCATATGCACCAGGTGCCATTCATTCATTCATTCACCCACTTTTAAAACAACGTAACTGTGATCATATCATCTGAACAATGTCATAAGCTTATTTTGTCATGACACTGTACGAGATCATTTCCAAGTAATTATGAATTCTTCTGAAACATTTTGAATGACTTAATAGTCTACGCTACAGAATTTCGATATATTTGGCTCCTTAGATGTTTATAAGTAAGACTTATTCAGGTTTATTGCCTTAAGATATGTTTGCATTGTATAATTCTGGGATCAAAGAAATACATGTTATAAAGCCCTGGATGCATTCATCTGGCCAAACTGCTCCCACTGCCACCAGCAACGTCTGCTTGTTTGACCACATCTTTGGCAGCATTGGGTGTTTCCTTTTTCTGACTCTTTACTGCTATGAGCTGTAGGAAATGAATCCTTACAAATCCCTGGTGGTTACTGAGACAGTTCATGGTGGGGGGCCACAGCACAAGACAAGGAGGGTGGGTAAAGCTGGTCATCCTTCCTGTTTCCTTGGTGGGATCAGAGGAAACAAACCAGAGAGGCAGGGTAGCCCAGGGGACCCAGGAGTCAGGATGGAGTGAGGCAGGGTGCCTTTTAGGGTAGAGACCTCAGTTTGAGTTCTTTCTCTGTTAAATTCCTGAATTTAGATTGGACAAGAGATTATTTACTGAGTCTATGTTTCCTTTAATATGTGGTAAGGCTAAAATATCCCAGGCAGAGCTGTTTGGGGAAGTGAAAGGGAGGATCTCTCCTCAAGAGGACTCCAAGTCCCCCAGTAGCCAGGTCACCACAGCTCATGGCTGATGCAACCCAGCTGGAAAGGACATGCTCACTGCCCCCCACCACATGCTGAACCCCACTTGCTGCTGAGCAACTCTGACCAGCTCTGCCCAAACTGAGTCCAGCACATCCCCCAGCAGACGTGACCAGGCCATTCAGTGTTTTGTGGGGTGATCGGGAGCAGGCTGGCCTTCCATCATCCTTCTTCTTTGTCTTTGGGATGAGATCATGCGATGCAGCTGGTAATTGCTCAGGAAAATAAGGCTCCTTTTTTAATCAGGTGCTAAAAGTGCTTTCAGCAGCCCTGTACGGTGTTGCTGACAGGCGCAGTCTCCAGCCAATTTCGTGACACTTCAAAGAGCAGAGGTAAGATTGCTTCTGGGAAATTAGCACTACCCCGCCCCCAACCTTGATTTTCTTGGACCATTTAACACAGGTCAAACCCAGAGATGGGAAATATTGATGTGTCTGCAACACAAATACTGCTGAGACCCTGCTTGAGAAGCAGAGACCAAGTCACCTCCTCTGAGTGTCGTGTTTTGTTTCTTCATCTGTAGAATGGGGAGAGACAGACTGTCTCATTGGATTATGAAGATGGAGAGCTGTGGTGAGAAATCCATAGAGCATATTGTGCCGCAAATGATTCATGTTATATTTCATTTGAGTTTTGCAAAAACTCCAAGATGCGGGGTGCATAGTTATCTGGGGTTGGATCTGCCCAGCTGCATGGCTGGCCCCTTCCCAATGCTGGTGCTGTGCAAGAAGTCCCTCCTTTTGCTGCAAGCATCTGGGGTTGAGAAAGGAAAACCTGGCTTTGTGACACTGGCCAGCATGCCCCTAGCTCCCTCCTGCTGCAAATGGAGCCAATTTGTATTTACCTTCTACCTCCAGGGCAAAGCACTTGGTAATTCACAAAACCTTCCTAACACTGGAAACAAAGATGTGTCCAGAAAGTAGGAACTCTTTCAAGCAGTTAATCAAGGTTGCACAGCTGGGGTGGTTCAGGATGGGGGTCTTTTCCACCACCTCCCTCCTGCTCCCCAAACTTGTTACCTGATAACATCTCAGGTCAAGCATGTGGCTAAATATAGCCTCTCTCCCAGCTCTGCTGTCATCGGGACTGTCAACAGTGGCGCCCCAGTTTTTCAGACTTAGCGTCAGGCTGTGATTTGACAGCCAAGCTTAGTTATGGGCTAAGGATTTTGTTTCCAGGAGTTCCACGCTCCTCCCTACTCCAATTTTAGATACAGAGACAGACCCTATAGAACTGACTGGAAGGCAGGTGGGAAGTGGGGGAGGGCTGGAGAGACCAATAGCTCAGCCTGGCCTGCTGAGAACCCTAAAGATCAGCCTTCTACTCATAGGCCCCATGGCCTTGGGAACTCACTGCCCATGGGAGCTGTAGGGCCCATCGGAGGACAAGGCTAAGGCATCATCTCACTACCAGTAGCCATGGGAATGTGGGCAGCGTTGAACCTTTTTGAGCCACAGTGGTCTCATGTGCAAGCAATAAGAGTAACTTCTTGCTTGCTGCTCGTGAGTAGAGGAATGCAGGGTTGCGCTGCCGCTGGCCCCTCGCACAGTGAGATGGGTGTGTGTTGATTCCACCACCTCTCCATCAGTCCTGCCACAGTCAGTTCAGCCCAGTGAAAATGTTCTAGCATCTCTGGGTGCTGGGTGCTCAAGACTCAGAAAATGATGAGCTCCAGGGCATACAGAAAGAATGCAGCAGAAGCAGATCTGAAATCTGTGTTTGATGATGTTCAAGTGACCACGATTCCCACAGACACTTCACCCTCCTTCCTCCCGTGATGAACAGTTGTACTGCTCTCTGGTTTATAGGTCTGAGAATTCTAAAGTAAGAAACCAAATGAGGTCAGAGGGGCACAGCTGAGTCTGGGCAGGGCTGAGGTGGGGGCTCAGCAAGGACTTGCCCCTGACAGATGGAGCAGGCTGGGGTTCAGGGCTGCCACACTGCCTGGTCCAAAACTCCAGGACCATCTTTCTTTATCAGTGGCATTCCTGGATTTGTGCAGTCTATCGTCTGCGCAGCTGAGTGCAATGGACCTTTTAGGGCCATTGTCCCCCCCCACAAGGTGACATTGATCCCTTAGAGATTCGGGATGGGCGGCACACATTCTTTCCTCATGCCTTGGAGTCCCACAGACTTCCTGGTTGGGAGGAGGGATTGAAGTCAGCTTAGTTGAAGTGATTTATTTTTATTAGCATCTATTCCCCTGTCCAGTGGTGCAATGCAGCATAGCTAGTTTGCTGGGACTTGAATCCATCCTTCATTCTGGAATCATTTGTTTTGTAACCACCATGGGCCAGGCAGTGGGGACACAGCAGTGAGTAAGACAGACAGGGCCCCTGGTTTTGTGGAACTTTTGTTTGGGTCTGCGGTGGGGGATCAAGATTAGAGCAGAGGGCAGACAAGGTCAGCCATATGGAGCCTTGAAGACTAGGGACTGGAGCTTACATTTTATTCAGAGTTACAGGAAGCCAATGGTGGTGGTGGTGGGGACTAATTGGAGGGCCAATGGGATCTGGTGTGCATTTTAAAAAGAACTCTCCTGAATGGAAAACAGGTGCTGGGGCAGGGGTCAATCAGAAGGACATTGTAGGGGTCCGGGTGGTAGAGATGGAGATTCAGAGATGGGGAGAAGGGGTAGGGCTGGATGGAAGGAGGTGACTCGGAAAAGAATTTGAATCTGAAGGCTTGGATGTGAGGGATGAAGGAGAGGAGAAACCAGCAGACCTCCAAGTGCTGGATTCCACAGCTAACAGGCAGTGACTAAATCTGTGTGACTGAGTGTTGGCCACATGTTGATTCATTTTAAAAATCACAATAATCCTATGAGAGAGGGGATATTATTTTCTAAATAATTTGCTCAAGTCAAATTATTGGCTAGTTGCCCAGGCCTCCTAGCTCCTCCAGAAAGCTAGTCCCAGCAATAGCTGTGGTCTTTTCAGGCCACCACCTGCAATGATCAGAGGCAGCTTTGCTCATACCCATGGCTAAGGGATCACATAAATACTTGAGAATTTGACATTCCCCCCAAACACATATTTGCAACCCCCCTTAGTATTTGCTGAAAGTTAAATGAACTATTCCAACTCCCTCTTAAGCAGTAGGTGAGCCTCACCCTGGAGGAGACCTAGAGGGTTGAGACCCATTCCTGAGGGCACCCACAGAAAGACCCAGAGTCCCTGACCTTGGATACCCCAGTGATGTCTTTGAACAGGCTCTCTTTCAAGTAGCCCCATCTTGATGCACAATCCAGTGCAGAGCCTACTTCAATTGCTAGCCGCCAGAGGGCTTGTGAAGTCAGCGGACAGTTAACAGTGGCCACACATGCTGGTGGGACAGATGAGAGGTGCACAAGATGATGAAAACACACCTAGAAGCCCCTGGGCCCCTGCCCTTTATTGTACGTTGAAAGTTCTTAATATGTTCAATATATCTTTGCATGGATCACTGGGCCAGTTCCCTGCACATTAAGAACTGTTCTTCAAAGTCCATCAGGACATGCCAGCTCAGAGCCAGGTTGCACTGCCCTAAGTGTGCATGGGTGTGCTCAGCACTGGAATCTCTGCAGCAGATGCAAATAAGGAGGATGGCATTTGGTATTTGGGACATTCTGGCAGAGAATAAGGTGGAGGTGTAGCCAGACAGTCCCTCAGGGAGGAAAGAGTAGTGTTTTCTTGGGGTTTCCAAGTCAGGCACCTAATTAGGTCAGGTACCCTAATTTCTGCCTTTCAGAGGAAGAAACTGAGGCTCCAACTCACAGCAGTGCCTTATAGTGCACACGCCTGGGTGGTGTGCCTCTTGCCATCACCTCCCTGGCTACACGTGTCCATCCATTGTGTTAATTGAGTGCTTCAACAGCGTTTGAAGGCAAGGTTTTGTGCTTGAATATATTGCCACATTAATAACTTCAGAACATTTCAGGCAGCGTTGAAATAGTAAATTAAGACACGACGGGCCATATATTCAGGGCAGAGAGCTGAAGTGCCATTTTATTACGTGTGCCATGGAATTAAAGGCTTAATTTTCTTTTAAAAGATGGCGATGCATCATTTCCTGCAGCCAGGTAAAAACAGTTAGCAGACATGATTTATCCTTCATTCCGTTTAAAAATAGGTAACTGGAATTCCAGGATCCTGCTCTCTGTTGTTATTTTATCTCTGCCTAGAGGGCACTTGAGACTTTGATCCCCACCATTCTGACTTGAAGGACAGGGCTATGCCCTGGGTGTGGTCAGAAAAGGGAGGCAGGGCTGCAGGGGTGGCTGTCACCCTGGGTTAGTGGAGGGGGGCTCCCTGCTAAGCTTCAGAAGGGAGGCAGGCTGCAGCTTTCCCCTGCCAGGTTGGGCAGCAAGCTGCCTCTGTGGCTGGGCAATGAGCTCTTACAGCCTGGCTTCCTTCCCTACAAAATGGAGTAACAGCAGAAGCTACCACAGGCGGATCTAAGGATGGCATGAGACTATAGGTGGAAAGAAAGTGGGTCTCCAGTGACTCTTACACATGGTGTGACATTTGCTGGCAGAAATTGTTATTAGAACAGCTCTTGTCCCCCCCCCCATAATAATGTAATACATACTCATTGAGAAGAATTGGAAAAATATAGAAAGTAAAAAAAAAAAATAAAGATCAGAGTGTCATATTACCCAAAGATGGTTAATGTTATTTCCTCTTTCAGCACACTTGAAAAATACAAAATCACAATTTTGTATCCTGGTACTCTGATTCTCTGGCTTGATATTGCAGGGTGAGTCATCTGCCTTATCATTAACAACTGTCCACAGATTCTGTGGCAGGGCTGTATTCTATTTCTTTGTAGACATGTGCGTCACCTTTACCAAGTCCCTGTTGGATCTTCACATACTTTCTTTCATGAAACATTTCTTGTTTAGTTTTCTATAATTTATAACTGTAAAAGATACTGATCTTGTTTATGGTTACTGCACTAGATTTCTGTGGGCACTGTAACAAATTCTCACTTATTAGCTTAAAACAATCATTTGTCCTCTCCCAGTGCTAGAGGCCAGAAGTCTGAGATGAAGGTGCCGGCAGAGTTGCCTTCAAAATCTCTGCTGGAGAAACTTCCTCACCACTTCCAGGTTCTGGTGGCTCCAGGCTTTTCTTGGCTTGTGGTAACATCGCTTCAGTCTGTGCTTCCATCTTCACATGGCTGTGTCCACTCTGTATGTCTCTCCTCTGAGAACCTCTTATAAGGATACCTGGTCTCTGGATTTAGGGCCTGCTTGGATGATCTTATCTCTAGATGCTTCATTACATATGCAAAGATTTTTTTCCCCAAATGAAGTAACATGCACAAGTTCTGGGGTTAGGCTCCTCTGGGAGGAGGTACCGGTCAGCCTACTGCAGCCAGGAAGCCAGGGCTTAGGAAAGTCCAGGCCATGGCCCAGGGTCACAAGGCTGTGGGCAGCCGAACTCAGATGCTCACCAGAATTTGACCTAAGCATACTGCACTTGTCTGAGCATCTTTTAAAAATTTTGTTTTAAGAAGATCTTTGACAAACAACATGGGCTTACTGCTGTCTGCCCTCCCCAGGCCCAGTCATTTTCAGAGGCAGAGCCTGA